ACTCTAATTCCCCAGGTGTCACTGGATATTACACTCAGCTCCACTGCCACATGCATAGCAAGATGTGTGGGTGCTGAATGGTTTCTCTCAGTTTCTCCTGGTCCTGGTTTACTGTGCTAAGAATAATAAATAATATTAATCCTTCCAATTGATACAGTGCCTTTCATGTTGGGCGGATGTCTCAAAACGCTTCACGGGATGTACTGGAATGAAGCAGCTTATATCCACACAGCAGTGTCTCACAAACAGCCATAAGTGAATGTGCGTTATTTCGGGATTGTTGGCCAGGACATCAGGATAAAGTCCCTTCTCTGTTCAACTAGTGCCATGAGATGTTTAAGGTCACCTGAACAGGTAGACAGGACCTCAGTTCAATGTCTCATCTGAAAAAATGCGGCACTTCCCCAGCACTGCATTGGAGCGTCAGCCAAAATTCAAAGTGCGAGTTCAAAGTCCCAAAGTGGAGCTTGAATCCTTATATATCTATCTATAAGTGCATATGTATAATTGCAAGTTACTGTTGATTATGTGTGGATTCAGACCAGTACAATGGACCCTCCATTATGCACTGATTTTAAATCAGCTAGGCTATGATTTCAGTTATTCTTAAACCACATCACTCCTTAGTATTCTGCTGTGAAACCCAAATATTCAAATGTCTGTTTGAGATCCATTTATTGCTTCAATTCACTGTTTGTAATTTAGATTGCACAAAAGTTCATCTTGTTTGCCCTCCACACGGCTGCTAACCTTTAATTTAATTGCTCCTGTACCTCCAGTGTGTTCCCCACTGCTCTGGTCACAATATTAATGTAGAAATCCAGGGCTCCATTCACTGAAACACGAAGATCCTGAGAAAATACTGAATGTACTACCAGCCTGAACTAACCCTTATCAGCTGTGATCTACGTATCAACGCGAGCTCTTGATGAGAACGTTTCTGTTATCACTCATAAAAACAAAAACAAAAAAAAATCTGCTGAGAGAGTCATTTCTGCACGTGATGGCCACAGTCTGGCCACCAACCACGCACAGAGTGAGACTCAGGGTTTCACATCGCTTTGCTGATTTCAATCACCCCTTTGGGACCTGTCATGGACTGAAGAGCATGAGCAGCAAGAGGAAAATATTAGGGACTTTGAATGCCTCAACCTTCAATGGGTTGCTCTGGGGTTAATTCTGCCTAAATAGGAATTGTCGGCTGGACTCGCATTACTTTCCGATGTGATGCTCTGGTTTGATTACTGACACCTCACTAAATAAATAAAATAAAATAAAATTAGTTACTCACTTCATGGCAGTTTGAGGGAAGTTGCTGTGCACAAATTGGCTGCTAAATTCTGTGAAGTGCTTCAAGACGTCTCGATAACATGATAAGGCACTGGGTCAAGTGCAAGGGTTCTTCTTATTATAAAGTGGCTCAACTTTACTTCAGAAGAACTTTCTGAGAGGTTAAAATAATGGTGCTGAGACACAAGACCGTCAAATCTCAATTATGTCTTTGTGGTTCATGAGTTGCACGATCTGGTGAGGTAAGCTTGCTGTCTCCCCCTCCATCCCCAATCCACACACACACTATTCTTTCATGTCATCACTTAGGTCAACTCATGTTGCAGAGAGAGGCAATTGTCCACAATCAATGAGCGTGAAGAGCACTTGTGTTTTGAACTGATGTCATGTTCAATGATCTACAGCAGTAGGCAACATGAATTGACCTAAGTGATGACATGAAAGAATAGTGTGTGTGTGGATTGGGGGTGGGGGGGGAGACAGCAAGCTTACCTCACCAGATCGTGCAACTCATGAACCACAAAGACATAATTGAGATTTGACGGTCTTGTGTCTCTTGTGTAATGTGGACCACTGGCTGACACAGGTCACAGCTCTTGGCTCTGGGTCCAGCCGATTCCTGTAGGTTGGGATCATAATAATAATAATAATCCTTGCATTTGATATAGCGCTTTTCACATCTTCTAGACGTCTCAAAGCGCTTCACAGAATATGCTGTAAAGTGAATTGACTGTATATTTTGTGGGCGAACGCGGCAGCCAATTGCGCACAGCAATGTCCCACAAACAGTCGTGGATTGAAAATGACCAATTTATTATTGTTTTGGTTTTGGAGGGATTATTATTAGGCTCTGTGTGGAGTAAGGAAACTTGCCCAAGGTTTCGCCCTCTGCCTGGATGATGTTCTTTCTCTGCTGTATGGGAAGGGCTCTCGTTGCTGCTGTGCACACCCTCAACCTGGCTTCCTTCCTACAATTCAGAGCTACACAGAATCCATTGCTCACTGGCATTATCTCAGCTGCCTCCCTCAGCAAGGCTTGGAGTGCTTTCTGTCCTTCACATTAGCATGGCAGGTGGAGGGAGATGATCTATAACGTACGCTGGATGAGGCAAATGGAAAGCGTTGTGAGCCCAGTCACAGGGTTCCAAACATTTGCAGAAATATACACTGAGTGAAGCAGACCAGCCTGGAGCTGAACCTCACACTTTCACTCCCTGATCAAACCTAACTCTCCGTGCTGGGGTTCCATTCCCGGGATGAAGAGGCTATAAATATCACAGCAGAGCTGGGGGAGTTTTAACTGGGAAGGAAACATTGTGATCCTTATTAAAACAATGATCTTTAGTAACATTTTCAGTCTCTGTTCTCCCTCTCGGGTCTTGGGACGTCCTCCTGACGTGAAAGGCGCTATACAAATGTAATTTTGATGTCGTTGTTGTTTGTAGACTGTGGTGCAACACTCCATCACTATTAGCACTGAGGCTAATAGTCTCATTTAGGACTAAAATCCTCATTAATCACGTTGGTTCAGAAAAGCCCACACCTCACTAGAGGCTATTTCCCTAAACTACTGGAGCACATCTGGGCTCTTACAAAGTGCTTTGGTCAGGAGGAAATGATTGCTGTAGGTGTCTACACATATTATTATGTTATGCTATGTTTCAGAAGGATGAAAAATGGATATGATTGTCTAATATTGCTGACAATTTCCATCAGAGTTTATCTTTTTCCTTAGCCATTCAGGCTTTTATTCAAAGTTAAAATACACATTTCCATTTGCTTATGCTAGAAGGATAGGCTATATGGATAATAAGAATAAAAATTCTTGCATTTGATACAGAGCCTCATCACATTTCGAGAAATCACAAAATGCTTCACACGATTTTAATGTAAAGTTTAGTTACTGTGTATTTATAGGCCAACCTGGCAGGCAGTTTGCATACAGCAACATCCCACATGTGAAATGTAAAGTGCTTCATATGGGGACAAAAAATCCAGGAAGAAACTATTATTTAAATGGAAAGAAAATAATTTGTATGGAAAATGAAAAGGACCTGGGGATCCTGAATGAATAAATTGAAGCTCTCGCAACAGCATTCAATAGCAATGAGTAAAGCAAACCAGGTGCTGGGCTGTATATAAAGGGCAATATTCAGCCGAAGTAGTGGGGTAATCCTGCCACTTTATAAATCACTGGTGCGACCGCACTTGGAATACTCTGTGCAGTTCTGGTCATCACAATATAAAACGGATATTGCAGCAATTGAAAGGATACAGAGGAGGGCAACCGAAATGATTGAGGGGATGGAGGAACTGGACTATGAGGAGCGATTAGATAAACTAGGCATCTTCACACACTGGAGAAGAGAGGATTGAGGGGCGATATGATTACGGTCTTTAAGATTCTAAAGGGACTAGATAATGCAGACTATGATAAGCTGTTTTATCTTGTACTGAACAGTAGAACCAAAGGACACGGCCTGTGATTGAAACGGGGGGTAAATTCAGAACAAATTTGTGGAAACACTACTTCAGTAAGCGAGTAATAAACGTATGGAACAGACTCCCTCGGGAGACAGGCAGTAAAGCAGAAAGTGTTGATTCACTGGAGAATAAATTAGGTAGGTTTCCGTTAGGAAATAATATTTCGGGATACAATATATAGTTTGGGACATGACATGCCACTGCCAGGATGGTGGATGGCAAACTGGATGGACCTTGGTCTTCTTTTGCCTCACAAATTAAGTGAATGGCTGATCTTATTTGTCTAACCGTGTGTCTGGAGGTTTTGTGCTGTCTGATATTGCTGGTTGTCTATCACTTGCTACTTTCACCCATCATTACATCATTAACAATTACATCATTCACTTGAAGAAAGAAATTGTCTCATTCTGTGAAATAGTTTGACATTTTGTTGGCTCAAGTTCACCATGTTCTGGGAGACATTTTATCCTGATCACAACTATTTATTCAGATTGTTCTCAAAAAGAGGAGCGAGCGAGTGTCTCCATTTCAGGGTTACAACACAGAATGACTCCAGGAATCCCTAAAGATTATTACAATAACCAACCATTTGAAGAGAAGCAAGATGAGAAATGAATTGACAGTAGTAAAGCAGTAATAAAGCTGGATTACTTCACACAACAACAACAACAAGGCTCCACACTCAGAGCTGTTAAGAACAACAACAGCAAAATTATATTGACGCATAATAAACCTTAAATTTGAATCATTGGCCCCAGAAATGTGATCCGCCAACCGATTAACAACCAGGTTCCCACTTACTGCTAGGTAAACAAAGGCGTGTGGAGTAAGGAAACTTGCCTAACGTTTCGCTCTGCTGGGAATCAAACCCAGGTCTCTCGCTTGCGAGGCGAGTGCTCTAATCACTGAGCTACAGGACTCCACGTTTGTTGGGAGGATGTCCCAAGGTGCTGGACAGTTAAGGATTTGCACCGGAGATGGGAGTTGTAATCAACAGGGGTGGAGGGAAGTGGGGGGAGAGGGTGAGCAAAGGCATGGTCAAAAAGGAAGGTCTTGAGATGGGCCTTGAAGGAAGCAAAGGATGGGGAGGTCCTGCTCAAGGGTGCTGTATACATGCAAGTTGTTGGTGTTGTACTTTACACAAAACATTCTCAATATTATCTGTATGCTGAGGCGCTCTCTCTCTCTCTCTTCTCTAATGTTCAGAAGTACAATGTGTCACTCACCTGAAGATAATGATAAGCCCTTTCTTGTGCCTTTGTTTCCTGAAGCGCTGGAGGTTTCTCTGTGTTGGTTGCCGAACTGGGGTAAACCTCGCGGGCTTGGCTCACAGTCATTGTGGACCACACGCTTCTCTTGAGGGGCATGGCTGCACATGCTAGGCACTTGCCCTCACTGCTGCTCTTCAAACTCTTCAGGGTGAGATCTCTGAAGGCACTTTCCATGGGTTCTGCACAGTACTGGGTCGCCTGTTCCATCGAGTGTCTCCCAGATGCATTCGCCACCATGTAACTGCTGTCGCTGTCCAGATTGTCATCGGAGCTCCACCAACCCGCCATCTTAGCCCTGTGCTTAGACTCAGACCTGCGGTCCTTGCTTTTGCTCCTCTTTATGGACCTGGATTGGTGTTGGTGGTGGTGGTGTGGGTGGTGGTGGCGAAGGTGGTGGTGATGATGGCTCTCCCCACCCCTGCCATCCATCCTCGTCCCGTTTATGTTGCCTTTGGACGGGGCCTCCAGGGAGTGGGACTTGGCGAAGAGCTTCTGCACAGAGTGGACCAGGTGGCGTATCCTGCTGGGGCTTTCGCTGCGCTGCTCGGCCGAGCTGGCCCGCTGATACTGCAGCGTGTGGAAGCCATCGTGATGGAGCGGCAGCTGCTTCTCAAACTGGTCCAGCAAGTTGGCCGGCAGCCGGTTGATCTTGCTGGAGGCGTGGGTGGCAGTCATGCAGTCATCGCAGGACTCATACTGCAGGTTATGGTGCATCCGAGGAAACGTGCTGCTGGAGGCCATCTGCTCTGTCATGCTGATAGGCACCGCAGCACACTCAGAGGGAATGGAGCTTCGAGACACACAGTAGTGATGGTCCATCGAACAGGACTCGGTAGGACTAAGTAGGTAAGACTGTCGCGGATCTTGGCTGTGGTGCAGATAGTCCTGAGGATGCTCACAGTCCTCAGGCACACAGTGGCAGGCGTGTGCAGATGAATGCTGGGATTGACCGCGGCTTCCATTATATCCCTTCATTGTGCTAACGCAGTCCGCGGCTTATGTTCATTCTTTAAGAGAATGTGCAGGAGCTGGCCTTGCCATCTGCCAAAAGAGCAAAGGTAAAATTAGACAGAATGAACAAAGCGAATCTGTTCGTCACACAGTTTATGGTTTGTGAGATTAACGTGACATTAGCGCAGTCACAACATCATAAAACTGAAACAGAAAATAGACATTACATGGTAACCATTGTGCCTTTCAGTGCTCAAAATCCACTGGAACGATTTATGTCCATTTTCCCAATCTTCCCTCATACCAATACAACCAACGCCATCAATACCACCAATGCCAGCACCACCACCAACACCACCAACGCCATCAACACTACCAATGCCATCAACACCACTACCACCAATACCACCAACGCCATCAACACCACCAACACCAGCACTACAATCAACACCACCAATGCCAGCACCACCACCAACGCCATCAACACCACCAACGCCAGCACCACCAACGCCATCAACACCACCAATGCCAGCACCGCCATCAACACCACCAATGCCAGCACCACCACCAACGCCACCAACGTCACCAACACCACCAATGCCAGCAACACCACTAACGCCACCAACGCCATCAACACCATCAACAGCACCAACGCCAACAGCACCAATGCCAACAGCTCCAACCCCAACAGCACCAACAGGACCAATGCCAATAGCACCAACGCTAACAGCATCAAAGCCAACAGCATCAACGACAACAGCATCAATGCCAAAAGCATCAAAGCCAACACCATTAACATCAACACCAACACCAATAATTACTTTTTGAGGAAAATAGCATTCTATTTGTTGCTTGTTTGAATGAACATAGTTGACATCCGGGCTTGATCAAATCCTGCATGTTTCAGGTGAATAACTAGCTATGGTTAAGATATGCCACTCAAACACTGTGATGGTGCAGTGGATCAATTTTGTGCTATTTTGTAACATATGTGTGAATTGAGAATTCTTAGTGGGCTTTTCTTACAGTAACTGGAAAACCATCAGTTCAGCTCTGGAATTGAACGAGTTGGAGCAGCTTTCTCACAAGGCAGCTTAATGGACTTGTAGATTTTGCAATTAAATTCATTAAGAAATATTGCAAAATCCACTCCATTGAGATGGTTGAAGGGCCAGAGGGAGACTTTCAGCAGATCAGCCCCAGCAGTCACTGTGTGATTGATACAGCACGGAGCCCTGCTCCAGAGGGCAGGAGCTGCTCAGATTTACATTATAAAAACAGTTTGTAATTCATTTCTGCTTTGCTGTTCCACGTCCATTTAATTTATTTTTCATTATAAACCAGTGATTCCACGCAATCCTCAGCCTTCAGACACCAATTAAACGTGCACACAGTTGTTAATGGAGCCACACGGATCTCTTATAGAATAGAGTCATAGAATATTACAGCACAGAGGAGGCCATTCTGCCCATCGTGCCTGTGCCCAATCAGTCCTACTCACCCGCTCTTTCCCCATAACCTTGCAATTTTTTTCCTTTTCAAAGACCTATCTAATTCCCTTTTGAAAGTTGTTATTGAATCTGTTTCCATCACCCTTTCAGGCAGTGCATTCCAGACCGTAACAACTCTCCGTGTAAAAAAATTTCTCCTCATCTCCCCTCTGATTCTTTTGCCAATTATCTTAAATCTTGCTGTGAGTCTCTCAGTTTAAAACTTGTGTCTCACATTGACAAGTGTTTGTCTAGTCCGAAGTGTCAGCGATTCCCACGTTTTCTTGGTCACAGGAACCCAAACTTTACAACTGATGTTTAATATATAATTCAACAACTGTGTGCTGGAGAAGCTTGTTTTTGTAAAACGAGGTTGGCAATGGAGTTGCAGTGAAATAATCCACAGGACTGTAATAATAATAATCCTTGCATTTGACACAGTGCATCAGCATGTCGTTGAGACGTCTCAAAGTGCTTCACAGAATATACTGTAAAGTGAAAAAAAAGGCCAAATACTGCAGATGTTGGAATTCTTAAATAAAAATAGAAGTCGCTGGTAACACTCAGCAAATCAGGCAGCATCTATGGAAAGAGGAAAGTGAATTAATGTTTCTGGTCAATGACCACAGGTCACTGGGTATCGAGGGCAAGACATGGACGTGGATTCAGAATTGGCTGAAGGGAAGGAAGCAGTGAGTGTGTGTTCAGGGAGGCAGCTCACAATGGGGGAAGGTATTAAGTGGGTGCCTCAGGGGCTGTACTGGGACCTCCTGTTCCTCGTATATATTAATGACCGGGATTCACAGACTCAGTGTAAGAGAGTTACATTTACAGATAACACCAAGTTGGGGGGAACTGTGGGATCAGAGGAAGCGGCAAAGGTCCTACAGAGAGAGTTTCATGGGGTTTACACACGGGCTGATAACTGGCAAATACAGTTTCATACTGATAAATGCAAAGGGCTACATATAGGATCCAAGAATATATGGAGGACAAGTTTGTCCTCTTCCATATTGGACAGGACAAGTTTGCAGGGCTATGGGGAGAAGGTGGGGGAGTGGGATTGATTTGGAAACTCGTTTAAAAGAGCCTGCACAGACATGATGGGCTGAATGGCCTCCTTCCGTGCTATATATTCCTATGATTCTATAAAGAATAGGAAACACAAGTCTCAATCCATTGATGGGACTGAACGTGCCAAAGGGGTAAATGAGCTGAGAGAGATCTCGGGGTATTAGTTGACTCATCGCTCACTATGTCACACAGTGTGAGGCAGCAATAATATAATAATTTGATATATCTCATCACGTCACAGATACGTCTCAAAGCATTTCACAGGACAAACTGTAAAGTGATTGACTGTTTATTTTGTGGGTGAAACAAGGCAAACAGGAGGCCGGGCTATGTTGCTAAATCAGTCAAGTTCAGATCCCCAGACGTCAATCTCAGGCTGTGGTCAGGCCACACCTTCAATACTGGATACAGATCTGGTCACCGTGACATAAGGAGCTGCCCAGGTCTTAAGAGACTGTGCTGAGGAGAGCCGCAAGACTGATTCCCCAGTGTTTGAGGAACGAGCAAAAATTAGACAAGCTTGGGTTCTTCAATCTCGTGAGAAGACACCTCAGAGGGAAACTTATAAAATTTGAAATGGGATTGAAAAAGTAAACCTTAATTAATAGGACAAGAAGATATAGGTTTAGAGTTGTGAAGGACAATTTGAGGACAGACACCAGGAAATTTATCTTCTTTATGCAGAGGGTAATCGATGACTGGAACAGGTGGTTGAGGCCAAGACACTGGGACTCATTTTAAAAGCAGCTCGATGGTGTGATTGGAGTTGGTAGGGTGGGTGTTCTGGAGGGATGAGATCAGATGGGCTGAAGTGCCTTATTCATCCAGACCAACCGTGTGGTCTCGAGCTACAGTTGCCTCGTGTGTCAGGAGTTAAATGACGAGAACTTCACAGTGGAACCCTGACTAATGCAGACCTAGTATTTTAAAAAGTTATGTTGTACTTGGATTTTTGTGCACGACGGACAAAAGTTGCCAGTTTGCATATTGATTTTCAACCTATAATCAATCATTCTGGATTAGTGATTGGATAGTAGTTACACTACTTGGTCTCATAAAATCAATCATTGAATTATACAGCACAGAAGGAAACCATTCGGCCCATTGTGTCTGTGATGGCTCTTTGAAAAGAGCTTCCAAATCAATCCCACTCCTCCGCTCTCTCCCCATAGCCCTGCAAACTTGTCCTCCCCAAATAATTATCTACTGCTTTCTTAAAAAAAAACGCCCGGTCCCTCCGCTCAACTGCCTCCGGCCTGCTCCACGTTCTCCGACCCACCCGCCCCACCATTGGCGAAAGAGCCTTCAGCCACTCTGCCCCCAACCTCTGGAATTCCATCCCCAGTCACTCGGCCTCGCCCCCTCCTTAGCCTCCTTCAAGTCCCACCTCAAGACCCTCCTCTTCAACCATGCCATTGGCCACCCCCTTCCCCTCCCCTCCCTTCTCTCCCCCCCCACCCCCGACCCCAGCTCGGGTCTGAAATGCTGTTCTCTATCCAGCACCTTGGGATGTCCTCCCAACGTGAAAGGCGCTATACAAATGTAATCTTGTTGTTGTTGTTAAAAGTTGTTATCGAATAGGCTTCCACCAGCCTTTCAGGCAATGCATTCCAGATCCCAACAACTCGCTGTGTGAAAATGTTTTTCTTTTAACAACTAAAAGGGAGGGGCGGGGGGAGTTGGCTCAACATTTCACCAGAGGAGAGAAGCAAGGGGAGAATGGGGCCCCTGTGCAGAGTAATTGGTGCTAAAGAGCCTGTGCTTATTTGACCACCTATTTGTAGACACATGAAAGGTGCTTTACAAATGTAATTTTGCATTGTATTGTGTTTCAAGATCAGGAAATGTCTAATCTCCAGAAACAATAATAACCCTTGTCTTCAATTCAGCCAATAACACTGGTTGAGAGCACTCTGCAATCGATGGCTGTCGAGTGTAGTGACTGAGTGTCTCTAGGCAAACATATGACATCTCCTCCTCTGTAGAGCCCTTTAGAGCACTCATCTCGCAAGCGAGAGGACCTGGATTCAATTCCCGAGCAGGGCGAAGACTTAGGCCAGTTTCCTTACTCCACTTACTCCTCAGTAAGTAGGAACCCGGTTGTTATTGGCAGATTGCTTTCCGGGGGTAATAATCCCTCCAAAATAAAAATTATAATTTGGTCACTCAATCCACGACAGTTTGTGGGACTCTGTTGTGCACAATTGGCTGCCGTGTTTCTCCCACAAAATACACAGTCAGTACACTATACAGTATACACACTTTATAGGGCCCAAATCCCTGACTGTTCAGCACCTTGGGACATCCTCCAGACGTGAAAGGCATTCTATAAATGGAATTTTGGATTATATTGTATTTAATACAGCACCTATAATGTCAAGAATGTCTCAAAGTGCTTTACAGGGTTTCTGTAAAAGGCAGTGACAGGCAATTTGGACACTGCAATGTCCCAAACACAGC